TAAAAATTAAATAAATAATTACTTTACATTTTCAAAAAATGTAAAGACAATATATATTATTTAAATAAATTTTAAAGAATAAATTAAAGTTTATTTCATAGAAAAAAAAAGGAACAACACAAAATTGTTAATTTTAGAATATTTCAATTATTAAATTATATAAAAGACAAATATAAAAATTAAATAAATAATTACTTTACATTTTCAAAAAATGTAAAGACAATATATATTATTTAAATAAATTTGAAAAAATAAATTAAAGATTATTTCATAAAAAAAAAAGGAACAACACAAAATTGTTAATTTTAGAATATTTCAATTATTAAATTATATAAAAGACAAATTAAAAAAAAATAATTACTTTACCTTTTTTTAAAATGTAAAGACTATTCATATTATTTAAATAAATTTGAAAAAATAAATTAAAGATAATTTCATAAAAAAAAGAATCAACATTGTTAATTTTACAATATTTCAATCATTATATTATATTGACAATGATAAAAATTAAATAAATAAATAACATAATTACTATTTAATCAAATAAAAAATTCAATTAATTACAAAAATTATAAAAAACGAATAATAATTAAATATTCAGTCTGGGTTAACAGTCTGGGCCGACTATTAACAGTCGGGTAAGCCGACTGTTCGGACTTCCAACCGGAAATCGCCATTGCCGGCTGTGAGCTCCAAAAATTGCAAAAAAATCCACATTTTTCACACTCCCAGCATGCCCACAATCTAATTACTCATGCTCATGGATCTAATTTAACCGAATAATGTATGAAAAATACTAATTTTACTCATTCAATAAATTTTCTACCTAAACAAAAAGTGATGAAAACTAACCCGTTCTTTTATTTTCGGTGTAGATCAGGTCGTTGACTGCGACGTTGGTGTAGTTGCCGGTGGTTGATCGGTCAAATTCCTGGCGACTGTTTGTCGGTCGGTTAGAGAGAATTTTTCAAACAATCTGAAGGGTAAAATCGTCTTTTACTGTGAAGTTTTTTTTTTAACTAAATTTTTTTTAATTCATTTAATGGGTCAAAAGCCAATGTCAAATTTTGCTACAGTGGAAGAGTCATTTTCTTGTATTTCCTCCTAGATTTGGGGTGTTGCATTAAAAATCTTTAAATGAAAGTATTGAAGTCTATGAAAAATTTAATTTATTATGTAAAAGTTAGTAAAATTTCAATAAATTTTGCAACAATCATTCACTTAAAAAGTCTTCAAAATGTTTTAAAAGTTCAAATTGAATGTACCATTTCTAAATTAAATCTACATTTTCCTTAGGATTTATTAAAGTACTTTTGAAATTTTCGCCTATTATTTTGGACCCATTTGCGACAAAAGAATAATATAAGGGTTTGTATGACACAATTGAAAATTAGAGGGGTGAAGTGAGAAATACACATTTGACAGCATATTCTAAACTGTGTCGTTTAACGAGTCTCCTGATCCCTTAATGCTTTTCCAGTGTTGATGTTCACCATACAGGTTCAAGGAGATCCGTCCCCAGTCCGCACAGTGGATCGCCGGCGATCCGAAACCGAACTCGATCCAAGTTACAATGTCTTGGTTTGCCCGATCAATCAATAATACGCTCAAATTCGACGATGAGGAAGATGACGCCATCAAGGGCATCAAACCCGAACAGGAAAACCTCCTCCAAGACAACGATGTTTCATCTCCAACCTCGCCGTCGCGCGGCGTCAAAGAAGACCTCTCGGAACTGACCAAAACCCTCAAGAACCAGTTCTGGGGTGTAGCCTCATTTCTAGCCCCACCGCCACAGCTCGATCCGAACAACTCGGAACAGAATCAGGAGCCCGACCCGGATGGTGAATCGGGCATCCGTACTGACTTAGCTGAGATCGGGGGAAGGTTCAGGAGCGGAATTTCGAAGCTGTCGAATAACATCAACGTGACGGAAATTACCAAAATGGCCTCGAATTTCCTACAGTTGGAATCTGATGATGAAATCGGTAAGGAAGGTATTCAATGCAAATCATTTCATCTACAAGCACAAGGTGTTAGAGAAATGCACATATATTCATTTAAATTTTATCTTGGACAGGCAATACAGAGGATTTTGATTCGGCGAGTAAAAAAGTAGTTGGTGTGACTGAGGAAGTGGTGGCTTTCGCGAGGGATATTGCGATGCATCCCAAAACTTGGTTGGATTTCCCATTGCCCGAAAGTGACAGTGATGATGATGGTATGATAATTGTATATATATAGAAATTTCAGGGGGTTAGTGAAGTGCAGATTAGTAACTAAGGAGTGTTTATCTACTAGTTGACAGTGTGCTGATTAATTGGATTAATTTTATTGCGGAGCAAATTGATGATCTTTCAATGATGGCATCATCTTTCAAATAAATGCTTAATGAATTTAAGGCAGATTTTCTTAGACATTGTACTAGGAAATCAATAAATGTAAAGTGGAATATATTTGAATAAATGGACATAGTAAGAAACTTCTATGATTTATTGGAGATGAAAAGACTTGTATAATTGTGTAGTAAGACCATGGATTCATGGTTTAGTTCCACTTCTTTGGTATAGTGCTATGCCCCCTTACTCTTTCATTCATTTTGTTATTTTATTCTATCTGTTATTAAATATTTATCGAAGTATTATGTTGTTAACCTAAGAATCTCTCATATACTTAGCTAGTCATGGAATGCAAATTGCTCAAAAGAGCCAGTTATGCATCTTTTGGTAGAGAGAACCTGTCGTTAGCATACTTCAATGCTCAAGACTTTTGTCAACTCCAAAAGTATTTTGAATGACGATATGGAAGAAAATTATTATTAATTCAGGAAATGGGAATTCAATATGACAGAATGTTGATTTGTTTTTTCCTTTTTTTCTTGATATTAGATTTTGACATGTCTGATGCCCAACAAGAACACGCCTTAGCTGTTGAGCATCTTGCCCCAAGATTATCTGCTTTGAGGTTTGAGCTTTGCCCAGGATACATGAGTGAAAGTTGCTTCTGGAAGATCTATTTTGTACTCCTGCACCCTCGACTGGATAAAGAGGATGCTGAAATATTATCAACATCTCAGGTCTCTTCTTCTTCTTGCATATTGCATATTCAATTAAAAGTTAATTTATGTTGGAGCTGGTTAGAAAAGGACTATGGCGTGCATTGCTTCTAATATTTGTCATTTTATTAGATTACAGTTGGTAAACATTTTTGTCTGAGTTAATTGTCTTTGATCACAAGTATTGTGCTTTTCTATAAGTGAATTTGGTATGTTACATTGTCATTTTAGTATCGCTAGAAAAGTAGATTGTTCCCCCCCCCCCCCCCCCCCCCCCCAAAACAAGGATAAATGGCTTGTCAATGAACTTGCTGCTAAAACTTGTGCGGTTTTTTCTTTCTCCTTGAGTGACAAGGTTGTTGACCTCCATTACTGTCATGACAAGCAGATAATAAAAGCCAGAGCCTTGCTTGCACAGGAGTCAAAGAACCAGACACCAACAACGCTAGAAGACTTCCCTGGAAAAGTATCTTCCGATCCAAAAGATGCCACCGCATCTTCTCATGAAGACTCCCTTTATGCATCATCTACTATTCCTTCTGAAAATGAGCCTGAAAAATCATCTGCCCTTGAATTAAGCACTTCCACTGCTACAGCTGCTTCTGAAATAGTGAAGCACGCAGTCGAGAACACTGAAATCCCAATTATTGACAAAGCGATGATTGAAGAAGAGGTGGTTGACCAAGTCAAGGATCAAAAGTTGAACTCTGATCCCTCTAATGTTTTGGAAATGAAGGATGAGGATGATAGTGATGACTGGTTGAAAGAAGAAAGTTCTGAAACTGGTGGTGCCGGTGGAACCAACATCCCAGTTGAGAACGAGGATGACGTGTCATTTAGTGATCTTGAAGAAGATGATGGAGATATGCCTGCTAATTTCAGAAAAAAAAATTACAATTCTGATAAAGACTCTCCAGACTGGTTAGATGTTGAAGAAATTAATATGTCGTGATTATCGTGTAATACTCACTATACACTAATTTTATTTTCCTATTATCTATAGAGTTGATCGTTATTTCTCGAGTCGAGTCTTGGAGCAACGCTTTGCAAATGTTATATTTGTATATAAACCTCATAATGTGAACCCTGGATTTTTATCTTACTACGAAATATTCAGTAAATTGCTGTATAGATTCAGAGAAGCGTTGTAAATATTTGGCAATATCCAGACGGATTTTAACTCGATAATGCCTCGTGTGCCCATATGCAATTCGAGCACTCCCATGCTGATAGAATAATCATTTTGAAGTGATGAATTTACGTTTTCTTGGACTATTGTTTTGCAAAATACTTTGTCACGAACTTCTGCAAATGCAAAGAATAAATCTTTGCCCAAAAAAGAGAATTTTTGGGACTCTGGTACTGCTTTTTCTTGAAGGGAAAACAAAGCAGATAGACACATGCATTGTTTTATTGTTTTATTTAAACTCTCATTTCCTGTAGGGGCTGCTGCTGGCTCTTATTATTTACAGATGAATGAGAAACTAATTCACACGTGCTAATTGGTATTTACAGGTAAATGCAGCCCTTATTCCATATATAACAACTTTAGGATTTTATGGGTCTGAAATTGCTCAAAATTCCCTCTAGGTGCGACCACAACAGGCTTCCCAGGGAAAACCTCGACCTTTCTTGTACTTCGCTGCTGTTGCTTTTACATGTTCTGGATGTTGCTCGCGAAGGGGAGCTCGAAGATTTGTTTACCACTACAACAGCACTTCCGATTTCTCGTCTCACCTTTTCAAGTGTTTCTGGATCAGCATTTTCTCCCGAAGTATCTTTTACATAGAATGTGCCAACTGCTCTCTCACCCCGACCCATTTGCGACAAAAGAATAATATAAGGGTTTGTATGACACAATTGAAAATTAGAGGGGTGAAGTGAGAAATACACATTTGACAGCATATTCTAAACTGTGTCGTTTAACGAGTCTCCTGATCCCTTAATGCTTTTCCAGTGTTGATGTTCACCATACAGGTTCAAGGAGATCCGTCCCCAGTCCGCACAGTGGATCGCCGGCGATCCGAAACCGAACTCGATCCAAGTTACAATGTCTTGGTTTGCCCGATCAATCAATAATACGCTCAAATTCGACGATGAGGAAGATGACGCCATCAAGGGCATCAAACCCGAACAGGAAAACCTCCTCCAAGACAACGATGTTTCATCTCCAACCTCGCCGTCGCGCGGCGTCAAAGAAGACCTCTCGGAACTGACCAAAACCCTCAAGAACCAGTTCTGGGGTGTAGCCTCATTTCTAGCCCCACCGCCACAGCTCGATCCGAACAACTCGGAACAGAATCAGGAGCCCGACCCGGATGGTGAATCGGGCATCCGTACTGACTTAGCTGAGATCGGGGGAAGGTTCAGGAGCGGAATTTCGAAGCTGTCGAATAACATCAACGTGACGGAAATTACCAAAATGGCCTCGAATTTCCTACAGTTGGAATCTGATGATGAAATCGGTAAGGAAGGTATTCAATGCAAATCATTTCATCTACAAGCACAAGGTGTTAGAGAAATGCACATATATTCATTTAAATTTTATCTTGGACAGGCAATACAGAGGATTTTGATTCGGCGAGTAAAAAGGTAGTTGGTGTGACTGAGGAAGTGGTGGCTTTCGCGAGGGATATTGCGATGCATCCCAAAACTTGGTTGGATTTCCCATTGCCCGAAAGTGACAGTGATGATGATGGTATGATAATTGTATATATATAGAAATTTCAGGGGGTTAGTGAAGTGCAGATTAGTAACTAAGGAGTGTTTATCTACTAGTTGACAGTGTGCTGATTAATTGGATTAATTTTATTGCGGAGCAAATTGATGATCTTTCAATGATGGCATCATCTTTCAAATAAATGCTTAATGAATTTAAGGCAGATTTTCTTAGACATTGTACTAGGAAATCAATAAATGTAAAGTGGAATATATTTGAATAAATGGACATAGTAAGAAACTTCTATGATTTATTGGAGATGAAAAGACTTGTATAATTGTGTAGTAAGACCATGGATTCATGGTTTAGTTCCACTTCTTTGGTATAGTGCTATGCCCCCTTACTCTTTCATTCATTTTGTTATTTTATTCTATCTGTTATTAAATATTTATCGAAGTATTATGTTGTTAACCTAAGAATCTCTCATATACTTAGCTAGTCATGGAATGCAAATTGCTCAAAAGAGCCAGTTATGCATCTTTTGGTAGAGAGAACCTGTCGTTAGCATACTTCAATGCTCAAGACTTTTGTCAACTCCAAAAGTATTTTGAATGACGATATGGAAGAAAATTATTATTAATTCAGGAAATGGGAATTCAATATGACAGAATGTTGATTTGTTTTTTCCTTTTTTTCTTGATATTAGATTTTGACATGTCTGATGCCCAACAAGAACACGCCTTAGCTGTTGAGCATCTTGCCCCAAGATTATCTGCTTTGAGGTTTGAGCTTTGCCCAGGATACATGAGTGAAAGTTGCTTCTGGAAGATCTATTTTGTACTCCTGCACCCTCGACTGGATAAAGAGGATGCTGAAATATTATCAACATCTCAGGTCTCTTCTTCTTCTTGCATATTGCGTATTCAATTAAAAGTTAATTTATGTTGGAGCTGGTTAGAAAAGGACTATGGCGTGCATTGCTTCTAATATTTGTCATTTTATTAGATTACAGTTGGTAAACATTTTTGTCTGAGTTAATTGTCTTTGATCACAAGTATTGTGCTTTTCTATAAGTGAATTTGGTATGTTACATTGTCATTTTAGTATCGCTAGAAAAGTAGATACATATGAATAGAGCACAGAGCTCACTTTATCGTCATTCCTTCTGCTTTGTCTATGATAATCTAGTGCATTTCTGAACCTCAATTAAAAAATACATCTATCTGAATAATTTCTATAGTTTATACATATGAATAGAGCACAGAGCTCACTTTATCGTCATTCCTTCTGCTTTGTCTATGATAATCTAGTGCATTTCTGAACCTCAATTAAAAAATACATCTATCTGAATAATTTCTATAGTTTCTTGACTTCACGATTATTTAGTGCATAAGTGGACCAATTTTAGCTTAATTTTGTATTAACTCAACCCCCCCCCCCCCACCAAAAAAAAAAAAAAAAAGAAAAAAAAAAAAACA